GGGGCTTGCAACAGAGGTGTTACCTGTTTGCGGTTTTAGGGCTGGATCGAACACCTTTAAAAGACATTTTACCCTAAATATAGGCTGTTATAAACAATGTTTATCATCGTGTGCAAATGGGTCAGTGAAAATACTGTTTTGGACTGGTTTGTTGGGGTTTTTTTTTTTGTGGTTTTTTTTTTTTGGGGGGGGGTTTTGTGGTTTTTGTTTTGTGGGTTTTTTTTTCCTTTCCTAGCTTCTCCTATGAGGAAGTATAAACGTTAATGTTTTTTGTAGCGTGCCAGACATATAGTAGAAGTTTTGCTGATTTAGCTTTTTTTTTTAGGGCTATGCTCTTCTTGAGGAGACTTTGGGGTGAGTATTGGGTTTTTCCTCACTTCTGTTTTGGTAAAATGACACCAATGGTACTGTGTACTGACATAAACATGCGGCACGTTTTTGCTATCTGAGAGCTACTGGGCCATGCAGGATTTCATTCATGTGTGCCATTGTCCCAGGATCTGGATGTGTGTGGCAAGGCAGGAGTCAGAACTAGTTTAACATCAGAGAAAATATTTAGATCCCTTCCTAGCCAACATAGAAGTCTTTGTCGCTTCATTTTTGTTAACTTCTGAAAATAACACCACCTATGATGGTTAAAACTGGTGTGGATCCTCAAGAGGAAGCAGTGGAAAGAATGCTGACACAGGCCAGCTATAGGCATTTTGGCCCCAGTACTGGTTTTGCTCTGTTGTTTGAGTGATGTGGTGTTATAAACGCTGATGTATTCACCAGTGTTTTCTCACAGAGGTGAGAGGAAGGAAGGAAAAACTGCTAACATGAATACAGTTTGTTTCATCAACTCTAGTGGGACTTTTAAATGTCACCCGTTTTTCAGTTATTATTTTTCTGAGGTGTTCTAACTGGGGTTAACAATTTAAAAAGCCCTTGCTTTATTTTAAAGTAATTTTTAGTGAAAATAAGCTTAGAACTGCACCATCGTGCTCTTGTTAGGTAGCTTTCTAGAATGCAGAGAAAAGTCTAGCAGACTCTGTTAACTTTGACATCAGTGTGATTTCATATGCAGTTGTTAGATTGGGTGGAGGGTTTCTGAAAGAAAGAGAAATCTGGTAGCTTTGCAAGTCCATCAGGTTGGGCAGATGACCATAAACTTGTAATAAGTGCATACTAACTCTCACTTTTTTCCTGCTTCTAGATCCTTGGTTATTTAACCCGAGTGAAGTGATGGAAACGTACACTGAAGAAAACAAAATCACCCATGGGTCTTTGGCATTCATATTTGTGTGAAAGAATCTAGGATGTTCCAAGAAGACACATCAGCCAATTGCTTAAATAAAACAACAACATCTACTGAAGATGGTGCTTTCCATAAACAAGGCCATAGTGCAAGAATTCTTAGCCCAGAAGAAGCTGAGAGACTGGCAAAAGATCAGGTTTTGGTGTCTGAGTTCAAACAACTGAAACTGGAGAAAGAGGCACAGAAGAACTGGGACCTGTTTTACAAAAGAAACAGTACCAACTTCTTCAAAGACAGACATTGGACAACCAGAGAGTTTCAAGAGTTAAAAGCATGTCGGGAGGTGAGATCTATACACTTCTGGAAAAGATGGGATTGGTTGTTCCTCCATGATTTAATAATATTTCTAACAAAGCCATTAGGGTAAGAGCTGCTGCATGTTAAGCTTGCAGTGCCCTGTGTAGTCTCTCTTAGTATCAAAGGTACCTCCTGAGAATCAGATGCATCAGTTTGGTTTTAGTTAATAATTGACCTATGCTGGATACTAAGAACGAAATTTGGAATATTTGTTTTGTGTCCTAAATAAACAACTTACCTCTGTGCTGTGAGGTTTTCAGATGCAGGTTGGTGCACTTCAGAACACTATTTTAACGAAAAGCATCCAGAATTACAGGCTAATTGCAGAACATTGTTAAGGGCAATAGCCACATGCATCTGTTGTTCATTATAGCTGAATGAAAGACAAGACAGAAATGGTACAATAGCCTGTTGATTACTTCAGGGGTAGATGACTAAAGAAATAATAATATATTCTAAAAAAAATCATAATTCTGCAGAAATCGAGATTTCTGTTTTGTAGTGTCAGATTATCCCATGGATGCCTACTTCAGTTTTTGAATCAATGGCAATTAAAATTGATTATAGCTTTTAAAACACTGTTTGAACAGCACCTCTGCTTATATCATGAGAGAAACAAAAATTATGTGCTTTATTTCTTTCTCCCCAGTTTGCAGATCAGAAACTGACCATTCTGGAAGCAGGCTGTGGCGTTGGGAACTGCTTGTTTCCACTCTTAGAAGAAGATCTGAATATTTTTGCATATGCCTGTGATTTCTCTCCTAGAGCTGTGGAGTATGTGAAGGTTGGTGTGGTATTTGGAACTTCTTTTGGAGTATCTTTAGAAGCTTCTGAGATTACACATGACTGGAACAACAGACTTCTCTTGTCTTCCTTTTTGTAAGAAGGGGGGAGTAGCTGTTGCTAAAAAATAGAGACTGATCCATTTCAGTGGAGCTCCTATGCGAAAAGCTGAATCGCTGCTCAAGACCTAGATTTTCAGCATCAAATTGTAGTATTTTGATAATATATGTATATTACTTTACTAGAATGATTTGTGAAGACACTGTTTTTTTGGAAGCGCTACTATGTCTCTGCTGACTGTGCAGTACAAGCAAAATTTTTTTGGGATGGAACCTTGCCCTTGATGTCTGTGGGCCAGAGGGGGAGTCCCAAGGCAAATCTTGAAAACAGGGCCATGAAAGTGATTGCTAAGGAAATTTGTAGCCTGATTAGGAAAAGGTATGTTTATACTTATTTATAGGTGAGCGGTACTGCAGTCCAAAGTTAAGTCTTCCAGCAAGGCTGGTGGGGGCTTTGGGCTTTAAAAGTCTCCTTGTTTATTAAATTTGTGATCACAGGTAAATTTCTGTATATCTGTTATTTGAAAGCATTCTCTTGTGGGACATTTGTGACCACAAGACACATACTGCTTATCTTATGGGAAGGATGGGAAGAAATATGTGGGGCAAACAAGAGAGGACAGCAGCTCCCTGAGATGCCACAGCTGCACTGCAAGATGAGGACAAGCTAAGTGTTTACCCTGGGTTTTGGATGACTTAGTAGTATCTACCTCCACAGCTCTCGCTGAACTTCTTTCTTGCCCTTTCTTGCTTTCCATTCCACCCAGCGAAACTGTGGGTTAGAACAGCCCAACTGCAGGTTATGTGACATGGATCCAAGCTGTTTACAGTCTACTTATAGCTCAAGAACTGTATTTTGATCACCTTGTAATACAGAAATTCTTTTAATAGTATTTCTGTATTTTTAAAGAGTAGGACCAGTGGTAAAACAGAAGTAGTATGTTTTCTGAACCGTCTTAATGCACATTCCTTCTTGCATTCCTGAGAACAGACTATTGTAATAGATGTAGTTTCACTATTGTAGTATAGAGCAAAGAATTTGATTGCATGTTGATGTTCTTATGCCACCATGTTTTGTGTTGCTCTTCTGATTAGTTTAATAAGTTTTTTACTTTTTTTGCACCAACAAATGCTGCTAGTTTTCAATGAAAGCATACTCTTTTCATTTCACTAGAAAAATGCCTTATACAGCACTGAAAGATGTAAAGCATTCCAGTGTGATCTCACCAAAGATGATCTCCTAGAAAACATACCAGCAGATTCTGTGGATGCTGTCACACTGATATTTGTGCTTTCTGCCATTCATCCTGACAAAATGCATCTTGTCTTGAAGAACATATACAAGGTAAACCAAGCTGATTTTACAGCCCTTAAAGCCCTTTCCTTCTTTTTAGCTAGAAAGTACCATTTTTTTTCTGAGAAAATAATGCCTCTTGTAATGGTGATCTTTAATACCATGTTCTATGGATGTATTTAGTTAGTTCATCTAGTTTATGGGACTGAAATATATTTTACAATTTATTTCTCTCTCTTGGTATTGTGAGTTTGTTTGTATTCTGGCCTAATGCATGCCCTCAACATAACAAAAAGCTATTTTGAATCTGTAACTTCGACTTCTAGGTTGTATGCTACAAATAACGTTTATGGATTACAGAAACGTCTGTGTTGATAAGATGTGAATAACAGTAGACCAAAATTGACTTCCAGAAGATACAGTGACTTGCAGTTAGGATGTTGTTGCTATTAAACACACTTAATCTGTGGTGATTTAGAAGTGGGGTTTTCAGAGATCAACGTTAATCGAGAGAGACTCATCTCCCTGGGCTGCCTTTGCTAATTGATAGACCAGGATAGGCCCATCCGGAGGGTGGTTTAAACAATCTGAATTGCGATAGTTCTGAATTTCCTTGAGATGTCATATATTGACTGCAGAGGGAAATAGTCAACATATTTTTTACTTATGCATATGTATGTATTGGGGGTTTTATATTTTCAGATATCCTCATTGTTTTGTCATCAGTAGTTTGAAAAGGGAATGTTAGATTTTTTTGATATATCTCCAGCTGTTTTCCACAGTCAGGATTGGTTCTTAGCTCATGCATGTGGAAAGACTAATTACTGTTTTCTGTATGGTGATGCCTGGCTCATTTAACTTGCTTGTAGGTTTCTGCACAAATTTGCAGATGGCAAGTGCTGCTTTTCTCCTCTAACAAATACAGCTGGTATTTGATGAGGTAGAAAAGTTGCATGGATCAAATGTCTAAAGTCAGCATGGCCAATGATAATGTATTTCTAAATTTTAAACTCTTTATGGCTTCATTTCTTTACCAAAGAGCAATTAAAAAAAACAGAAAACCAAACAAATCCAAACCCACAACCCCTTTTCCTGGAATCGTTCCTTTTTTGTTTCTTATTATATTGCAACATTTTTCTTTCTCACATGAAAAAATAAATGTGATGGTATTCTAAATTTTAGTGTTAATCATTAAGCAAAATCAGGTGCTAGATTGTGCACTACCCAACACAGAAAATGCCCCGCTAGGACTTAATTTTAATTGTTAATCTGTGTATTTTCTTCTTTCCTCTGTATTTGAAGAGTGTTGCAAAAAGCTTACTTGGCTGATAAGCACCCAAACAGGTATCCTAAAACTATTTGTAGTCTAGCTTTCACAGGGAAGCATTTTTAGGATTGGACAGTCCAGTTTATGTACAACTCTGTTGCACAGGGAATGAATTCAATATATATATATATATCACTTCTGTATTGAATGTGTTACGATACCTTATCTTAGTTACGTGTATGTGTGTCTGTATGTGTATACAAATAAAAATATATATATGTGGCTAAATCTGTTTACCTTACTAAAGCATATATGTATTATGTGACAGGTGTTAAAACCAGGCAAGTGTGTCTTGTTCAGAGACTATGGACTGTACGATCATGCAATGCTCAGGTTTAAATCTGGCAGCAAACTTGGAGAAAACTTTTACGTTAGACAAGATGGGACAAGATCATATTTTTTTACTAAAGGTAAGATGTTCTGTGGAGTGCTTTCTTTTCTGTGGATCTCCTATTTAAACCTGCAAATTGCCAACATGCCCTTGGAAGTTTTGTTTTACACAGATGAACTGTTAAATTGTGTTGTACTTCATTTGCCATCCTTTCTGGGAGAAAGAGGATATTTAAATTGTCAGGACGATTCAGAGCACTTTCTTGAATACAGGCTTCTTGTATGTGCTGTAATGTGCCAAGAGCAGCAGTTTCTGAATTTGCTGAATTTCATTCAGATTTGTTATCTAAGGGAGAAAAACCAATGTTCAGTAACAGAATGGATCATCTTCATGGAGCAACCAAGCAGTTATCTTGGCATCATTCTTTTTGCAACACCATTCCTGGTGTGCGAGATGAAGAAGTCGATGACTTCTGAAGCAGAACCACAACTACAGCGCTGAGAAGCTTGTGCACAAATCCTGCTGAGATAACGCTGACTAACTGTGGTCACTCTGTCTTCTGTTTTTTTTTTTAGTAAAGACGATGCAAAAACCATTTCCATGTGATACAGTAATTAAACAGTTTTTCGTTCAGTGCTCATCATGCTTTAGGAAGGAAGGCAATTATTGCAGTTTACTGGTGGAGAGTTTGAAGCTCACAGACAGGAAGGAATTCACTTAGGGTCTCACAATGAGTTGGGCTTATACCTTGTCTTCTAACGCTTAGTTCCTCATCCTAAACTTTAGTGAACCGTTACTTCCTCCATCAATTATAGGGCATTGTGTAATAAGAGCTGTGTTTATTTCTGTGGGGCTCTTTATTCTTAGTTGAAAGCAAAATACTGCCACTGAAGAGACCAATTTGGAACCAAGTAAATGTTATTCATATTTTATGACATAACATATTACCTAATTGCTTCTGATATATAAAACCCATTAATCTCGTCTGAGCTCTCTCTATTCTTTATAGGACAATGATGAAATCTAAGATAATGCAAGCTGTGCTACAGCTTCATTGAAGCATTTCTAGAACTGTTATTTATTGAGTGATTTTTAGTTCTGTTTACACAGCTGTTAAAAAGAGACTGGATGCTAAAGGGAACAAATAAGAGACTGACCAATTGACCTAGCTGTGGAATTTTAAATCCCATTTTTATTGTGTGTTAGGATTGTTTATGAATGAGAGATTCCTTGCTAGTATGCATGTTTGCTTTGGAGGGAAAAAAATGAGATAGGAGGAAGAGGAAGGAAGGAGCAAAGAGGGAATTTATCTTCTATTGCTCATGTTAGCAATTGTTTTGCCTTGGGTTGTTCATGGACTACCTCTGCTCCTGTTTTTAATAATTATGATCTCATCCATCTCACTAATTTTGATATAAATATTGCTTAATGCTTGATAATTTTTTTGTTACTAGAAACATGACTCTCATAATTTCCACAGAGTTTGAAATCTGTGTTATTTTGCATTTTTTAGCACTACACTGGTACACCAAGTAATTGCTGCAGGGGATGATTTGGATGATGCTTATTTATTTATAGTGTGTCTGGCCTCAGATAACAATGCTGTGCTTCTTCCATGGGAAAAAAAATCCGTTCTTCCACTGTTTGAAATAAATCTAAATTTGTGGAGGAATGCATGGTTGTAATTTAGTGTTATAAAATATGTGCAACTCTCTCATAATGAGATTTCAGTAGGCCCACAATTAAGTGCTGTTTATTTATACTTCCTTGACGTGGATCCCCCATTTTACATGAACACACTATGTTTACAGCCAGTCCATATCGCTTTAGAATGGCTTAGGTTGATATAAACCTGCACTGCCACCAAAGTGGATGGTCTCATCTTTCTTCCTCAGCACACCACCTCTTCTAGTGCGGGGGTTCCTGTAAGATTCTTTTGTTTATGGAAAATACTCCCAGTTGGACTTGGTACCACCATATCCACTTTGCCATTTTGTCCATTTTTCTGTTGAGCAATGGCATGTGAATATCTGGTAACGTAGGGTAGTATTCTTCTTCAAGTGGAGATGCATCTACACGGCTGGATTACCTAAGTCAGCTGCACAGAGTGAGAGAATGACAAGGAGAATGTCACAAGGAGAATGACAAGGCTCGATAAAAATAAGAGATGTGGCAAGTTTTGGAAACTAAACTGAGTAACTAGCTAAAGCCCCAGTTTAGCAAGCTGTTTTGCTTAAGTTGATGTTTCTAGAGGAGATCTGTATTGATTTTTATTCAGCAGTCTGCCTGCATGAACAGCTTGCAATCTGAAGGCCTGTGTGATTTTTTTCATGCAGTAACACATAAGAACGTATGCTTATATAAATGCAGACTAGTGTTTTAAAAATGGCTTAAACATAATATTTCATCTTCTTTTTTGCTTGAATTCTCTTCCAGAGTTCTTGTCTCAGCTTTTCAAGGCAGAGGGATATGAGCAAGTGGTTAATGAATATGTGCAGCGAGAAACTGTGAATAGGAAAGAAGACTTGTGTGTCCCAAGAGTTTTTCTTCAAAGCAAATTTCAGAAGCCTTTCAGTAAGACATAAGTTCTTGCTGATCAGCAGCAGCATTGCTTATTTGAAATGGAAGCTAGCACATTGCTTTTCCTTGTGTGTGCTCATCTTTCTGGTAAACCAGAAGTGACTGCATCCAGTACCTCTTGTTGGTTTTCATACTCAGATACAAAATATAAATGCTATTTCTCATTCAAATTTAAGATGGTTTAGTGATGCAGGCAACCTGTTGAGTATCTGTATTCCTGCTTCTAAAGTAAATCCTGTGCAGCATTTTTGGAGGATCAGGTAAAGCACACTAAATATGGTCAATTTTAAGCTGTAGTTTTCATTAGTTATTATCATAACTGTTATTTCCATTTTTATTAAAAAAACTATTTTTAAATAAGTATTTTGTGTTTCCTATCACTTACGGTTTTTCGTGGCCTCTTAAAGTTACAGTATTTCGTCTGCTTTCAGTACTTCAACTTCTGAGTATAATTTCTCAGATAGGAATGAAACAGACTCAGTGAGTGGTATAATATAAGCTGCCTTGGTATTTTAATAGTGGTATCTTTTTAATGTACTCAGCATTTAAAGGTTTAAACAAATATTTATATTCTAAATAAGATCCTACTTTATCTGATTTCATGCTTGAAGAAAGTTGTTAGAAGATCAGGTTGTCTTTATCCCTAAATAATTTCAGACATTCTTTGTTTGATGTGCAGAAATAGTTGAAGTTTTGCAAGTCAGTTTCCCATTTGGAATTGAAATTGCTGAGTCAGAAGTACTTTCTTTTATATCAAATGTAGTCAGCTGCTTCTTTTCTGAGCAGAGGTCTTAATTCTTCTCTGTCACTCTCAGGAAAGGTGTTGGTCTTTGCTGTTCCTATCACCAAAAGTCACTGTATTAATGCTATGGCTCGTAGCCAGCCACAGCCTTGACTGCTTGAAGGAACTTCATCCTTTCCCTTCAACAGCCCTCATGCTTTTGCAAAACCTCTTTTTTGTTCGTGGATAATATAACCACAAAAACATGTCTGGATCTTTAACCTGCATTTTAAACAGCTGCTCTGCAGCAGAGGAAGCTCAGAAATACCTGGTGACTTGTGCAATGGGGTGTGCTGATATTGTGTAATGTACACAAGTTGCAACAAGGGAAATTCCAGTGAAATAATAGGATTTTTTTAATTTATTTTTTGTTTGTAAGGAGAGGTCAGACACTGGGACAGGGTCCAGAGAAGTTGTGGAACCTCTGTCCTTAGAAATACTTGGAAATGGACTGGGCATGGCCTTGAGCAACCTGTGGCTTTAGTTGAGGGTCACCGTGTTCTTAGTAGGGATTTCATCTCTTGCAGCATATATTAGTTTGTGATTGATTGACTCAGGCTGTCATTCCACTGGACTTGTGTGTTGCTAGGTGACCCAGTGATACACATCTGATGAGGACCAAAGGTGAGTATTTGCCTCCATTTATGACAAACTAGTCATAAGATGTGATAACAGAGTTATTTCAGCACTCAATGCTGGCTGTGTGTGCATGGAGGGAAAGACTAATCACTTTTCCAGCATAAAGCCTAATTTTAGAAAGTTAACAAGTCAGAATTTTTTTAGCGAATTGGAGCAGCCGGAGGTCTAATTCAGTTGATATGTTTGTAAATAAGTTTGCAGCAGATCATTGCTTTGCATCAGGGCACCTCACTTTTCTTTTGGTCTGTTACCATGAGCCTCAAAGCTGGATTTATTATGTCATCAAACTTCAACCTCAGAGGAAAAAGAGATTAAACCACACAATTCTCCTAATGACTCTTTGAGGAGGGTTGTTATTACTTGACATCTCCTTTTTTTATGGAGAGTATCATTCTGGGGATTTATGCATTGCTGACCCCTGCTGCGAACCCATTAGCACTTTCTGCCATACTAGTAATAAATATCTAGTAACATTTATAGTAAATGAAAAAAATATGTTAAAAAGGGTATAACAATGTTAGCATTATTATAATCTGAGCAATCATAATTTTGTGGCTTCCATCAGTAAATGTTCATCTTTAGTGCAGCAATTCTACAATGACTGCCTGTAGTCTGAACTCTGTTGATTTTTAGTGGGGTTTGAAGGCTGCAACACCAAGTGTCTCACAAGGCTGAACCTTTGGTCCTTTTAGAGTATACAGCACAGAAATGAGACTGAAGGACTGCCTTGCATTGCTTCTCATCATTTTGACATGTGATTGTCAACGTATGCAAAGGCAAGTGCACTGAAGTGAGTATCTCAAAAAGGCAAATGAAATGTAGAATAATAATTTTAAGGTTTGAACCAACCCAATAGACTTAGCTGCAGATAGCCATTGGCTTCCTTTTTACACTGAACTATTGTTTGAACAATAATACATTTTTTTTTTTGTGGCGGTAGCTTCAGTGCTTCTGTTCTGAGGAGCTACTGTCTCTTTTTGTGTAGCAACATTTTAAATGAAGAGGAGTAGTTCTATTTTTTTTTTGTTTCTCATTCGGTCTCATTGCCAGTAAGACCTGGAAAATAAAGTAGCATGCATTAGTAGCCCTGCCAGAAAGGCCTTCAGCTATAGTTTTCATAAAGCAGAGATTATTTCCAGATGAATGGTCAGAAAGCTTTGTTTGCTCTCTATGCCTCTGCTTCTGTGAACTCTAAATCATTGCAGGCTTTTGTAACTCTGGTAAAGTTTGAGGAAGTTGAGTCAGCTTTAAGAAATCCTTGCCTCATCATGCGAGACACAATGACTGATGGGGTGCATGTGGCTGTTAAAATGTTGAGTAAAGTGGATTTATTCCCCCCAACCCTTCAGCCTTCCGAGCTCATGTATGCTCGCCAGAGGTAGGCAAGGGTACTTAGTATCCTTACTTGGAGAGCTGTCCTTAGAGGGATGTGGTAATAAGGGTAAATACTGTCAAAAGGACTTGGGGGGAAAAAAATACATGCGCTTGCACAAGCAAGCTACTATGCCACAATTGTAATAAATGTCTTTGATTTGCCTTCAATCAACGGGGGTTTCCGAGACTGACTCAGTTGTCTGTAGAAGACCTCCCTTTTGTTTACCTTAAGCTGAGGTAGCTGCTCTATCTGGCAGGCATAAGTAGTAAGTTACTTTGTGCCATCATCATCTTCTGAGCAGTCTTTTGAATAGAAGCAAGTTATTATTGAAGTAGTAGGAGTAAGAAAACCCTTTTTTATGGTTTCGTGATATCTGATGTTTAATAAAGTATGAACTCTGGTTAAAGCTTTTCCCGTGGTTAGGAAATCCTAAATGTCACTTTTCAGTGTGTGATTCTCTGAAGTCTCCTACTGAAATTAGGCAGCATATATAAATGGATCATGTTAGTGGGACAGTGAGTCAATGAGGACATTAGTAAGGTCTGTTTGCTGGCTGTTTTCATCAGATTTACAGAAATATAGTGTCTTTGAGTCTTCTCTCATTTTGTGTCCTTTACTGTTCTATCACATTTGCTTGATGCTGTCCAATGTGTTTGACAACAGGCTAAGACTAGACAGAAATCCACACATGTACTGTGCATGTACTGTATGCATGGGTAAGTTTCTTTCCTTAGGTATATGGGTCACTGAGAAAAAACTATTTGAACTTTAGAGTAGTGGTATCACAGCATGTTTTGTGTGGTTCATTTGATAGCTAAAAGACTATTTCTGTGCATCTTTCAAGGTTCCTTGGGTTCCAAAGGCATATTATTTAGGCAGTTAATACAACACTATCCCCATGATTGATTATGCATCATTCTTATGGGTCCTGAAACTCTAGTGTGTGTAAGTATCAACAGCCAACTGTAAAACATACAGCCTTGGTCTCATAGGAGGAAACTGGTATATGAAATCTGAAAGGTCATTTGTAGGCCTGACTGATATCCTTTTTCTTCTTGATTTGTTGTACAGTTTATATCTGAATATATTGAGAGATATAAATTACTTATAACAACACTTACATACACTTATTACAAAGTGTTTTCCTGGAAGAGTTATTTGAAAGGTAAATATTTATTTAGAGACTATATCGTTGCTGAGCATCAGTATGTGAAGGAAAAAGGTAAGATTATGTTTAAGCTTCTGGGGAGAAAAAAAGTTTTCAGAGTTTCACAAGCCAGGGCTGATATGCGATTAAATGTGTTGTTCATCTAAAAGGTGAAATTGTGGGCATGAGAGCCTATAGTTTCCAAAACTAGACTAACGTTACTATGCAGGCAGAAGGGTGATATCTAATTGTGTTCAATATTAGTAATACACACAAGATGATCTGGGAAACAGAATTCTATATTGGAAAGATAGTATGAAGATACAGTTAATGAAAACAGGTAAGTCTGTTTATGGATTTTTACCTCCCAGAGTGAAGCTATGATGAATTATTCATTGGTTATACTTATTATTAGGAAAGATTGTGAGCCATTTCAAACATTTGGGAGCAAATATTCACTGGTTATGCATTCTGCAAAAACATGTGGCCCTTGGGTGCAGTAGGTTCAGGATATGAGTATGTTTGTGCTCTGTGTTTGTAATGTGAGTTCATTTATTAGAACAAAGGCAGATGGTGAGCCTGTACTGTGGGGAGGCATACAGAGGCATTTCTTGCAAAGATAAAAGCCATTAGCCAGGTAAGATATTCCATTAGAGAAACTGGGGAAGACAAGGGCACAAGGAAGAATGTGTATGATTATTTTCTTTTTTCCAAATGATTAATAATATTGTGTACCTCTACTTAAATGATTGTGGGTTGGGAACATTTACCCCCTTTTTCCAGCAAGTCTTAGGTCTCATCCTTGGAAAACTGAGTCACTTCTGAAGGTCTTTGCCAAAGACACAGGTGTAACCAATGCATGCTTGTAGACTGTGTGAAGTGATATGGAAAGGCAGCTGTGTGACTGAAAATATAAATCCAGGTTTGTTTTTCTCCTTTGACCTATAAGAAGCTTCATACTTCACTGTCACTTCAGTGGCTTTTCAGAGTTCGCACTCTGGGATGTCTGTGCTGTCTTATCCTTGTTTAAGCTAGGTGTGCCCTGTCAACTCCAGCTTAGGCTTCTGATGCCTGTAGTATCCGGAGAACTTAAAATGCAAATCACTGAGGTTGGTTGCAGGGAAAAGTCAGAGAGCAGACAAGTCACAGCCTGCCTGCTGTCTAGGCTCCACTCTGTATCCTTCTGCAGTCAACTTCTCTGGACCCTTGAATTTCTGTAGTAGATTTTGAATAGCAGAGAAACTGCTTTTCAATGGGGTAATTATATCTTCATGCATATGGGATTGTTGTACATCTGAAGTTTAAGGATTTTGGCATGCTTCTTTTTGTTGGCTTTTCCCCTAAT